TAAATTTTGGTGTCAGCATAATAAAAACTCAACAGTTTATGTGGTAGGCTCAAGCAGTCATCCCATTAGAAAGACACCTGCACTGAGTTAGGCCTGTTGTGAAAAACTGTTTAGAGTAGCAGTTCTCAAACTGTAGCCTTCATCAGAATTTACCTAATAGGTTTGTTAAAATACAGGTTTCTGGGCCCTACTCCCCCGAAGTTTCTGATTCAGTGGGTTTGGATGGGACCAAAGAATTTGCATTTCTAACAAGTTTCTGGATAATGTTGACACTACTGGTTTGGGAACCACTGGCCTAGAGCAAGCAACATCTAAGCTGAACTATGAAGGAATAGGTAGGAATCAGCTAAATTAGGTGTTGTGTGTGAGGGGAAGTGTAGTGAGGAGAGCTGGGGGCAAAAGTTCAGATAGAGGACACCTGCATATCATCCAAAGGGACCAGCAGGACCTTGGGAAGGGGAGAGTGGTTAGAGATGTGCTGCCAAAGGGCTGTAAACAGGAGCAACATAATCAGAAGTGTGACTTAGAAAGATCGTGTGGCTCCACTGTAGGGTATAGACTGAAGGTGTGAGGCCCTTAAGGAGACTGATTAGTCAGGAAGCTACTACAGGAGCAGGTTGATGGCCAGGATTGTGGCAGTGGCAGTGAGGACGGAGCAAAACAGAAGGATCTGAGAGAGAGTTAAGTGGTGGAAATTAATGTCTTCAGCATTCTTTCAGTACCGGGAATATGGGTGGGGAGAAATATCGAAGTTCATCCTGAGATTTCTGCTTTGGGCAGTTAGGTGGTACAAGTTATTGGGACAGGTAACACAAGAGCAAGGTGGGTTAGAGAAGGTGGGAGGGGAGACAAGGGTGATTTTATTTTGGGACCTGTTGATTTCCAGTGGGTCACTGAGAATTCAGATCTTGAGCTCAGGACAGTGATCTAACCTGACAGTACTCACCAGCATGTAGATAACTGAAACGAGAGTAGATGAGATTTCCTGGGTGCAGTGTGTAGAGCAAGACTAGAAGATGGCCAGGTTCGGGAGATCACTGAGAAACTGCCACTTAAGGGGAAGACCGAGGAAGAAGACTCTGCAACAGAGACTAAAGCTGTCAGGGGAGTAGGAAGATCGAGAGACTGTGACAAAATCAAGCACATAGCTGAAGCCACGCCAGAAGCTGGAGGGAGATCAAGTAAAACAGAAGCACCAATACCAATTAGATGCTGTATTTGAAGAGGGTAATTGATACCCTAAGTACGAGTTCTCACAGTGGAGTTTTATAAGCTCAAACCAGACGTGTGTAGAAAGTGAAAATACAGAGGCAGACAATATGACAGCCAATTCCTGGGATGACCTTTTTTTTTTTTTCATCATTTCAACATGATTTATATGAATTTATCTACTATTAATAATGAGAATTGAAGATATTCTTTAAATATGTCTTTTTATATTAAGTTCTGGGAATTTCTTGCAGTCTTCTTGTGTATGTTACTGCTATAGCCTTCAGAAATGGTGCAACCTTCCGAACAGATGGTAGCCTAAAAATCTGTGAAAAAAAATAGTAGAAAAAGTAATCTATATAAGAAGTTTAATGATTGTATTTTTTATGCAGCTGTATTTCAGATAAATGCACGGCTAAGGATTTCATTTTTAGAATTTGGTTTCTAGGGAGTGAGCCTAACAAGTATTCATTTCTTAAAGATACAGCAAAATTTTCTCATTTTATTTTAAGGCAGTGCTAGAAAAATGCATCTCATTCAATTTTACAAAAACCAATATCCTGAAATACTTAGATCAAAATGCAGAGTTGTGTTATTGTACATCCCTAGTACTTGAAAGCCAGTAAAATCAATATAACAGGAGACTCATGCGGACTTGTGCTTTGGTTTTTCCTCTCTGGAAATGAGACTATGGTATCTATGACAATCTTGAATTCTCAGACTTTACAATAAATACCCAAAGAGTCATCTGGGAGACAAAAATTTCTGATAATTTGGAAGTGGAATTTCTTGATTAAAAGATACCAAACTGGGATCACATAGATTTCCTATCCAAAAAACAAACTCATCTGGTTAAGAAATACTCTAAAGAATTCTGAATAAGTATTTTAAAGTCATTTTTAAAATCCACTATTAGCTGTCTTTCAGGTTTAGAGTTTCAGTTTAGGTAGTGAAAATCTTCAAGTATCAGAAAAATAAATGATTTCCCACATCTTGGCCATGGAAAACATATTCTTCTCTGAAGCAGTGGTTCTCGACCTGGTGAAAACCCCTCACAGTAACTTGAAAAGTCCCTAGGAGTTCTTGTGGGTTGAAGAAAAAACTTTTTTCTTGCCAGACGATTCCACCCACTATCCCTTAATTACAACTTCAAATTCCCTGCTATTTACTTTGTTATGTGATTTCCCTTCAAGTAGACTATCTCCTTTTGTCTTCTCCACTTTCCTCTGTTTTTATCTGATACTCAAGGCTCAGATAAATACCACCTATTCTGTTAGTTTACTAGACTTACTAGCTACATACAATATAATATATATTGTTTTTCATGGTAGGTATTTGCACATTTATTTCTAGTTAAATTTAGGCTTTTAGAAGACAAGAACCATAACTTAGGCCTCCCATGTTGTCTAGCATGATATCTACCATATGGTTGTTACTATGTGTTTGTTCATTGATATTATACATCACATATTCAAATTGAATCAAGCTAGAATGTGAAACAATTCTTTTTATGCCCTAGCCAAAATATTGAAGACCAACAAAATAGGTCGATTCCTTCTTTTGAGATTCTAGTCATTCAACATTTAGAATTCATCCAGGTACAACCAGAAACGATTATGTTTACATAGTGGCTGCAAGTCTCTCCTACATCAAATAAGATGGGCATTGGCAAAATATTAATTTTCCAAGAAATTTATCTCATTTCTAAGAAAGAGTTCTGTGAATCTTTTGGTTTGCTGAAGCCTTTTTATGGGATTAGTAACTGGTCAATTAACTGTTAACATTTAAAGCAGAAAGACATTAAAGAAGTGTATAGACACTGTAATTTAAAACACACAATCATCCACCAATATGTTTGAAATAAGGTCTCTTCTTTGACTATGGGTCAGATGTTTGGAACACATCACACCACAGTGCATTATTTACTGTTCACAATGTTGGTTCTTTAAATAGTAGTGAGACTCTACAGAGTTTTTTGAAGTCATTTGAAGTGTCACCTCTTTCTCATTTTTATGTTTATTGACCACCCCAATATATTAAAATTCCCTCACTTTTCCCTAAGTGAACAGCTTATTTTAGTGACTCACCTTTATGGAATCTTATCAAAGAAATTAAAATAGATTTTATACAAATGAGTCTCCTTTTGTTTCACGGTCTTGTATAATTATTTTATTTATGATTTAGTTAAATTATATTACATAAGATGGTAACAATGGGCAAAGTGTGGGGCCAAATACAACTGATTCTTAGGAAGTAGCAGGTGCACTGGTTGGAGCAGAGGTGGGAGGCAGCCTGGCAGGGCTCACTGGGTCTGCACGGGAATGGAGAATGCTGTTAATCTGGTGGGCTAGCTAAACAGAGAGAAGTTAAAGAGACCTTCTGTTGTACTCTTATTTGATACTAATATCTTCCTGACATCGTCCCACAGAAAAACTGAGGATGTGTTTTATTTAGAATTAACTAATTTCATCCTGTTTGTTAGCTGAAGGAAAATAGAGTTAAAGATATGGTGGGTGGAGGGGGAAGATAAATAAGAATCTGCTAGAAAATAACTTTACTGGTTGTGTTGTATTAATTCAGAGAGAGCTACCAAGGTCTATAAAGAGAGAGAGAACTAGCATAACACATCTAGACTATTTCAGGTGCATTCGTTTCATTTCTAGATTTACAATAATTTTTATGAAGAATTCATATGAATACTTCATAAAAAATGTTGAAAGAATGAGATGGAGTAGGGAATAGAAAAGTTGGAGATATGAATTTATTTTTGCCTTAAGGAAATTGATTATAGATACCCTCATAGTGTTATAAATCACTCATGGTTATTCATGTGACAGTTTTGTAATACAAAATATCAGAGTGAGAATGGGAGTTAAAATCAGCTAAGAATATTCTGAAGGTGAAATCAAAGAAAGATTAAAGTAAGGTTAGATTTTGTCTTCACACAATATTTAGAGATGGAACAATTCTTAGATATTACCTAATTAATCTCAATCCTGACTATTTGAGTCACATATATAAGAAAACAACCCCAAATTTTAAAATTCACTACATTTCTTATACGCCTCCCAACCCCCTTCCTTAATGCAGTGATCTTATTGAGTTATCCTAGTATTTAAATACCCTATCATTGTTTTCATACTTATTTCATTTTTATTTTTGGTAATGTGATCAAATGGCTATAGAGGGATGTCATAAAAAATGATTTTCAGAAAATACCCTTTATAATGTTTTTACACTAAAAATATAACTGGATCAAGGAAGTTTTTGACTTGGTATAGGGTGTCCAAAAACAACCTATATACACTTTAACAGCTGATAGCTCAATTTTGAAAATGAAATGTATTTTAATAAGCACTGCCTTTGTAATTCTTCAAAGTGTGTGTGTAGATTTTGGGGGGAAACCCTGTATTACAAAATCCAACTATTCACTTCCAGGTCTATTTTTTGATCCCTCAGAAACCCTGTTTGAGCATTGTTGCTTTTCTACAGATCTTTCTATGGTCCTGAGAATTTTTCTTAAAATATCAAGACATATTCAAAAGAATTCCATTCTATACAAATCTGTTTACTCGCTGGTCCCTAATGTAGGATGTTTGTTCTGCTATTGGAAGGTAAAGTAGAATGAAACTAAGTAAAAATAAAAGCAACACTGTATCTGGTTTTCTTTATGTTAAAACTCTGCATAAGTAGATTTTGTTGGGTTGAAAATTCACCTAGAAAAAGAACATATTTTAGAATTTTACTGATGTTTAGTTTTCCCTTAACATTTTGATGTCTTGCTTTTCCAGGGTTTTGAAAGTGTTTCTTTCACGAACAGCCCAACGGATTCCATATATGACTGGCGGACGGGTTATGAGGATGCTGGCAGTAATACTCCTGGTAGTATTTTGGTTTCTTGTTGGCTGGACTTCGTCTGTTTGCCAGCAATTGGAGAGGCAGATTTCACTTATTGGCCAAGGGCAAACCTCTGATCACCTCATCTTCAACATGTGCCTCACTGAGCGCTGGGATTACATGACAGCAATTGGTACGTGGTCACTTGTTTTGTGTGATTGTCTTTTCCTTTTTCCAGTAACATTCAAATTCACTTCTTTAGAATCCTTATCAAACCCTTTCACAAAACCTAAAGGAATTTTACCTAATATGGTTTTGGTAAAATAATATAATGGAAAGGACAATAATGATATATGGAATGAAAACTTTTTCTGAAAGTTTCCATTCTTTTTCAAAGGTATGTAGCTTTGTTGTGAAAATGTAGTGAAGTAAATCAGGAAGAAGATATGCAGTTAATAAAGACAACTTATTTGCATAGACAGACTTTCTGCTTTCTGTCTTATCCGTGTGTTCCCATTTGGATAACGGTAGCTATTCTCTTGAGTTACTTTTTTGGTTGGGAGAAAAAAGGAAACATGCTGGTATTTTTTATGTAGTTTTGGTTCTATGATATATCAAAGCTGGTATCGAGGGCACACTTTGTGTAGAGGTTTTTCTCTACAAAGTCTCTAATTAATCTATCCTTCCTCTGAAGATAATTTATTAGGAATTATCTGGAGGTTCAGTATTACACAAAAACAAAGCCAGGCTACTTGGAGGTAGTAAGAGTTATGTGACTGAGAAACTGGAGAACTTGGAAGAACCACATAATTAATGGCTTGAGCCAAAAACATAGATTATTTTTCTGACTCCTCAGTTTTTTGAAAAATGAAGAAGAAAAACTCCATAGGAACTTTTGTGTTAATATTGGCCTGTTTTAAGCTAAGCCCCCAAAGATACACATAAAAGAATGAAACCAAACCTTTATCTTTTTGTTGTTATTATTCCCTTCAGTAAGTCATGGGACACACCTTAATTTTACTTGGCACATGTCAAAAATAAACACATGAGTTTAATTCCTATTTTGTATCTTCTCCACATTTGATGATTTTTGGTTGAATATTCACATTTAGTATTTTGCTAGCAGCTAATAAAATGTATATTTACTTTACAATTTAGCCGGAATAATATTTTTCTGGGCAAGGTATTTTAGGAATTTTATAGGCCTGATATCTATAAAACAATATAGGGAATGGTTATAATGATAATATATAAAGCCAGTCATCATTATTTTAATCAATATGAAAGAAGATATCAGTAGATCCATATCAGTAGATATCAGTATCACACCAGAAGATAAAGCATAGAACTAAGGTAATAAGCAACTCTGATTCTGACTTTAATCTGGATATTAAAGTTAAACAAATTGTATAGATATAAAATTTCTACTCAATAGAAACCTCTAACGTTATTTTACATTCTTCAATCCAAGTTAACCGAATTAGGAAAAATTGTTTTCCTGTATCACTATGAAGAAAAGCCTCCTATATTTCTTTCCTGTTTTGCAAAGAATATAATATTCAAAATCCATGATGAGCCAAGCAGGAAGTGTCGCTGCTCACCTCGCATGGTTTGCATTTTGTGCACACTGATTTTCAGATATATGCAAGGCCCTTTAAAATTTTATTTTGTACTCCGAGAAGGTCATGTTTGTGATTTCTACATAGAAATAAATAGACATACATAACTTATAATAATCTGCAATTCATTTTCTATAAAATTTCTTTATAAGTGATCATTTTATACAATAAACAAGATCCCCTGAGTACCTATAATGTCTTTAGTACTGTGTTGAGCACTTTGTGGGAAATGTAAAATGCATAAAGGCCTTATTCCTCATCAATTAGCCTACTATTGGTTTATATAGATAAATAAGAATTGTTAAAAATTACTAAAAAGCAAAATTAGGTGGTAAAGACTCTTGGTACAATAGTATTTCAATAAAGGAAAACAGCACTTTGGACCAGAACCCAGGAATCTTCATAAAAGAGAAGTTCTTTGACCCATGGGTGGTATTTAGATTATTGTAAGGAGATCTAGAGAACATTCCCTTTGACAGAAATAGTGGTGGAGGTGGGTGAGAATTGTGTGAAACATGAAGAAAACTCCTAACTAGGTCAAGTTTGTTGTGAGTCTTGGAAAACCTGTTATAGGAATTCACAGAGCCAGGAAAGGGGGTTGATGAGTCAGGAAGTTCAATCTAGGTTGCTTTTGGAAGAGTCATAGTGTTTAAGTGAAATGTACCAAATTCTCTGCATTTCATGACACTCTTTCTACTTCCCTGATCAACCACTAGAACAGTCCTCAGAACGACTATTTCAAGTCTTGTCGTGTCCTGTTTTTGTACCTCCAAACTCCCCATGTTTCTCTTTTCTGTTAGAGGATTCCTCCTTGAAAAATCAAATAGGAGCCATCAGATAGCAGTGTCTTCAGCTTCTTGCTTACATATCTATAACCCTTCCTGTATTCCTACCCAGGCTTATTTTTTCTCCCTTGTATTAGCTAAGCTAGTTCCTGTGCCATCCTCATCCAGCATTGGCCCCCCTCATCTCTAGTGATCTCTCCCATTTTATAGGACTCTTCTGTCATCTGAAACTCCCCTACCTCCCAAATCACTCATTGAAGAATTCCATCTGACCACAACTTCCTCTCCTACCTTATTTAACTACTCCCTCTGCAACAGTTCTTTAGTGTCACAGGCTATTTTTATTGTACTTTACTGCCAATAAATTCTGCCTTCCTCCAGAGAGAAAGCTTACCAGGTAGCAATTTTTTCCACTAGCCAGGAGGAAAATGTGAAAAAAGTAGGCATTTTAAAATATTTCTGAGTAATGCCAGGGAAAGGAGACATAGAGACAAGGAGGACCCTGAGCTCACTTTCCTGGGGACCCTGTGGGAGGTAGTAGAAGAGAAGATAAAGATCCATAGCTTGAGAGGGCCCCTGGGGATGCAGTTCCTTGGGCGGTAATGAGATCTCAGCTAAGGTAAGGAGGTGGAGAGAAGCTAAGAGAAGAGATTGATGATGACAGGAACATCTAGGTCATGGCTTTGGGAGCGAGATGCAAGTGGTGAGACTTGAGAGACAGGAATTGAATAAACTAATACTCCCAAAGGTGTTAAATGATAACATTAGGGTCCCTTAGAAAGTAAAAGACTAGTAATAGGGTACAGAGACAAGAGATAAGAGGAATTTAAATGTGTTATCTCCTAGTCATTGTTTTTGTCCTGTAAACTACAGGAACACTTTGGTTTCAATATGTTTTTCCTGCAGTGACAAAATTCTCTAAAAAAAAAAAATCAAGACACATGATTTATCTGTTTGTTTGTATGATGATTGCCAGAGGGAAGTGAGGGTGGGGAGTGGTAGAAAAGGGTATAGGAGAGAGAAGTGATGATGGAAGGAGATTTGACTTGGGGTGGTAAACACGGTATAATATACAGATGATGTATTACAGAAGTGTATATCTGAGACCTATATAATTTTGTTAACCAGTGTCACCCCCAGTTACATTCAATGAATTAACCAAAATTTAAAATAAATACATGCTGTTGTAAAGTAAATTTATCAATATGATTAATATTTACAAAATTAGCCCTGGACAGTGTCGCTCAGTGGTTAGAGCTTTGGCCTGAGCACTGAAGGGTCACAGGTTCTATTCCCAGTCAAGGGCATATACCTGGGTTGTGGGTTCACTCTCTGCCCCAGGTCGGGACACCTGTGGGAGGCAACCAGTTGATATGTCTCTTGCATATCAATGTTTCTCTCTCTCTCTCTTCCTCCCTCCCTCCCTTCCACTCTTTCTGAAAAGCAATGGAAAAAATATCCTCTGTTGAGGATTAACAAACAAAAATTACAGACAAGCAAGCCAATTACTTTTTACTAACTATCTTCAAATTCAAATTTAAAATGTCCTATTAGCCCTGCCGGTGTGGCTTGGCGGTTGAGCGTCGACCCAGCAACAAGAGTTCACGAGTTCGATTCCTGGTCAGGACACATGCCCGGGTGGTGGGCTCCCCAGCAGGGGCCATGCAGGAGGCTGTGGATCGATGATGTTTCTCTTTCTCATCCATGTTTCTATCTCTCTATCCCTCTCCCTTCTGCTCTCTAAAAAGCAACAAAAACATCTTTTTAAAAAATTTTCCTCTTAAAAAAAAGACATATGATTTAATAATAGGAACAGCTTTTTGAAATTAGGACTGTCTTGAAAAATCAGAGACATGTGGTTGCTGTAATTTTTTTTCACACTATCCTAGAGCAATTTCACTTATTTATCTTTCAGCATATAGCATTTGATATTCTGTATTTAATCTCTCTCAAGTTAATGTTTTCTAATGAGTAGCATATGCCTCTTTGCAGTTCTCTTTATATATATTCCTATAAGTAGCATGTTTACACTAAGTTTTTTTATATTCTGGTTCTTATTCAAGAATAAATTCATATATCTTCAGTCAGCCAAAAAGCAACCTGTACTGAAAGCTAAATTATTCCCTGTTTCCTAAACAGAAATGTTTCTATGTAGGGGCGATGCTGTGGAGAGGCAGGAGGTAGGTTTTACCTTGAGATTGTGGGAAATTTTTGTCAAGAAGCTGTGAATGCTTACATTTCTGTCAGAAGTCAATCTAGAGAAAAAAGAAGAGTGACGGTTAATATATTGATAAGCATGCATTCTGGATCAGCTATACCTGTCAAAAACAGTCTATTTTTTTAAAATATAAAATAAAGAACCATTTGAAAGAATGCAATACTAGTTTTTCCACTGAAGTAGAATTTGAGTTAGAAATATGGGTAATAATTTTAAAGAATGGGCTCAGTCTATTTTTGCTTACTACTCCAAAACTGCTCTAAAAGTGATTTTCCTACCACAAGCATTACAGAAGAAAGAAACATAGAAAACAGCTTGGAAAATTTTCTGAGCCTCTATGAACCTCAGTTTCTTCTTTAAAGAAATATTTGAAAACATAAAAAAGGGAATAAAAATGACTTTCAGAAGTCCATTGTTATTTATGTCTATTTATAATTTTCAAAATTCATTGTTTGTCCTTATAAAAATTGTGAGGTAAGCTTTACTAGAAAACGAACAGGCATATAAACACTGCAACTGTGGAAAACAGGTGAATATTGGACAGTGTGAGAAGTGTTTTCTAGTAGTCTTT